GTGGTAGATGTCCTTTAACCTGTCATGCATCTGGCATATGTGACATGAGTTGCACCGGAGGAAACTGCAAACCTATTATGTGTGACTCAACAACCTGCGGTTTGTCCTGCACTGGTGGAGGCTGCGCGATAAACTGCAGAGGAGAACTTTGTAAAGCCACTTGTACTGGTGGTAACTGTCCCGTGACTTGCCATTCGACCGATATGTGTAACATCATGTGCACCAGAGGGAATTGCAAGCCCATTCTGTGTACTTCGAAAACCTGTGATTTGTCGTGTGCTGGTGGAGGATGCGAGATGGACTGAAGAGGAGAACACTGTAAGTTCAGTTGTACGGGTGGAAGATGCACGCTGAAATGTCCTCCAAACGCGAAAACCTGTGTTCTTAGATGCACAGGTGGGCCCTGCAAAACTATCAAACCAAAAACACTTACAATTCAGCCCACCCTACCGCTTGGTCCGCACATTCAAAGATGTGTGCAGGGTGGCTGCAAATTAACCTGTCCAAGAAGCTCCAACTACAATCAGTGCGAGCAGATTTGCACCGGTGGTAGTTGCCCCTTAAGCTGCCATTCGTCTGACAGATGTGATATGACATGTACTGGAGGAAGCTGGAAGCCCATTCTGTGTACCGCGAAAATATGCGATTTGTCGTGCACTCGTGGAGGGTGCGAAATGGACTGCAAAGGGGAGCACTGTAAAGCAAGTTGCAGGGGTGGAAGATGCACTTTAAAGTGTCCCTCAAACTCGACAACCTGCAACTTGAGATGTACAGTTGGACCGTGCAAAACTATCAGACCACCCAGCACGGCACTTACCACAGTACCACCAACAAATCCTCAGCCAACTACTACGCGTAATCCATCCAATCCCTTTTAGAAGTGCGCTAGACCACAAGGTGGTTGCAGGCTCACATGTCCGAGACGTCCCAATGACACTTCCTGTGTGCAAAACTGCAATAAAGGTAAAGGAGGCTTCTTTTTTAAATAATTTTTCATCATTTCAGTTTTTACTTTCAAATGTTTTTGGGAAAAGGGGAACTTTTATTTAAAGATACTTGTCACACGTTTTTCGGTACCTTACATAGTACGTTATAGTACAAGGCAAAAAGGAAATAAAAGTCATTTGTGCTTTTAAACGAAGAATACGGTGGCAGAAACATGGTTACACTTAATCGGTTTAAGGGCAGAAAGTACACCAGGTCTTGTTAAATGATCTTTTAAATCGTGCAAAAGTAAAAACAGAAACTCGCGTTCAGGAGTCAGGTGAAGAAATCATTTTATAGATCAAAGAAAGCTTGCACCTATCTTTTGAAACATCCACTATTCTTTGTTGTCTTATTCATGTCTTTGATTTTCCACCGCGGTGTTCAAAAGAGAGAACCAGGATCGTCGGTAAAAGACCTGGAAAGGTTGTCATGTTTTCAAAGGCCTTATTTGCTGGCCGACGTCATTCCAACTCCTACTTAGCTCAAATCCTCGCTTTAACGCCCAGAAATGGACTTGCTCCATCCGCAAGCAACAATTGAATGTGTCGACTGCCCGTTTAATGATACGAAAGTTTGTCGAGACGGGATAGAGAATGTGAATGTACACAAGTCGAGGCGTACCTAGACATACATCAGTTCTTGAATGTCAGTCATCCGTCTACATGGATAAGTTACTTTTGTACCCTTAAATCTTATGACAGCCTCACTTTCAATACTTTAATTTTTAAGGAAAATGTCAGTTAAGATGTTACGCAGAGGAAACGTGCACGATGACTTGTATTCGTGGGAACTGCAAGCCTGTGATCTGCACTGCAAAACCGTGCCTACTGTCTTATCCAGGAGGGAACTGTGCCATGAACTGCTGGGGAACCTTCTGCAGGAGCTCTTGTTCAGAGGTGGCTGTTCTCTGAGTTGCTCCCCCAGTGCCAAAACCTGTGAACTGAGGGGCACTTATTGCAGGCCGCGGTGTGCAAGAAAAAGATGCAGATGTACCAAACGTCGCGGATAGCGAGGGAGCTCTCTGAAATATTTGCCATCTGACTGCTTATTTGAAAACCTTTTTTATATTAAAATATTTTTCTACCATAACCACAAAAATAGTTTTTAAACTGGAGTAATTACAAGTAAAAACTTTTTGAAGCCATCACTTAGTAGTGAATACCCATTTGTACCGAGCAACTTTTTCATTGCGTAAAAGAATGTCAGTTTAAAAAAAAATAGGAAATGTGTTTCGTTTAGACTTATAGTGAAACAAAATACTGAACTTGTCTACTGTCACGCTAATCAAAGTAGCTAATCATGTTAACTTTTCTCTGACTTACTGCCAGGTTGGCAATCTTGGTAGACCTTAATTAACTGACAGCTTTTAAATAAAAGAAAAAAAACATATATATAAATAAATGCTTGATCGGATGCATATGACTGAATGAAGATTTTCGACTTCAAATTGAAAAGGTAAAGGGCAGAAGACATCTTTAGGCACTAAAAACTATCAGCAAGAAGCAGGCGAGGATTAAAAGGGGGTCGATTGGGTGCTTGTCACTTCTCTATAGAACCGCCTAGAAAAAGGACAGGACAGGACGAGACAAGAAGGAACAGATGTATTCATATTAGCGCCTTTGTTTCTAGTCAAAACAGTAATAAACCATGAACGTGTAACGAGAACTCCTAGATGCAGGAAAGGATTCTTTCGAGTAGATTTAATTCAGCCATTCGAGCTCGCAATGGTTTGCATTTAGCAATATAGAGAAGAATAACTAATTCAAAGTCTTCAACATACATGAAAGTAGATAAATTCGGAATAAATTCCATTAACAACGTTTCTGAAAAACCATTATTCAATTTGCAAAACTATTGCAAGTTCTCGTTAAATCTAATCGCCAGGTACTTGAAGTTCGTACTACTTGCAAAAAGTTCTCGTACAGTGTTTTTTCTTTCACCATGATTGATTCCGGCGCCACGAACTCCTGCATTTCTCTGTCAAAGTATTTGGAATAAATTTAAAAACTATTTAATAATAATAATAGTAATAATAATAATAATAATAATAGTAATAATAATAATAACAATAACAATAATAATGATGATGATAATTTATTTTAAAAAATGAGACAAAATTTACAAGTTCATCACTGGTATAAAAATTAAAAGTTCTTAATCAAAGTATTGAAGTACTATTTAAAATAACTACAAAAGATTGGCATACGCCTGTCGAAAAAGATACGTTTTCGACTGTTTTTTAAAACAATCTTAAGTCTCACATAATAGTATATCCTTTGGAAAAGAGTTCCAAAGAGATGGCGTGGATACCGAAAACGTACGAACGTGGATTATAATCTGGTATTTCCAATTTCGTATCGATTGAGGACCTTTCACTGATAGGCCTTTTCCCTTCCCTTCTTAAAACGTTTATAGCGCTTTTTCTGTGGATTTTTCTGAAGGAGCTGATTCGTTGCTTCAATTCTTTTACCCGCTATTGGTTTGCCCACGCCATCTCATGATTCTCCTGAAAATAAGTAACTTGATCACAAAAGTACAATTACTTTTCCTCGGGCTCTTTAACTTACATTTTCCACAGTAATATCAGTCATAAAAGCGGTAGGCCGCTTGGATTTCTGTGTGTTTATCGACGCAATAAACCCACTTGGGATGTTGGGAGAACACGAGAAAAGTTTGTGAATCACTCGCCTAGCGGCTCGTAACTTGCAAGCTTTTCTCGCGTTCTCACAGTTTTCTCACGTTCTCTCAGCATCCCCCCGTGGTTTATTTCGCCGATCTGAGTCTATAGATATGTATAGCGGTATATTGCTTGACTAATCTTGATTGTAAGTGAATATATTTCTCATATCTTTATGATTGGTTAGGGAGGCAGGTGTGGCTGCCTGTTTGGCTCGCTGGATGGCCGGTTGCTTGCTTGCTTGCTTGGTTGATCGATGGGTGGACCGATTCAGTGATGGATTTATTGTTCAATTATATTGATCGAGCAAGCACGAANCCGCCCGGTGTTCGGGAGGTCATGGGTTTGATTCCTGTCGGGGACTCAGAATTTTTCTTTGTCCCACGCTCGTGTCATGTTGATTAATTCACCTTAACACATATTGCTAAAGTTTTTCAGTACATAACATTTCATATGATTCCAGCAAAAGAAAATAATGTGATTATCATATTCTTTTGAATACGGTTATGAAACATTTGCAGAAAGGTCAATCTTTGTTATGGTTGCAACAATTCATAACACTGATATCCCAAGAGTTCGAGATTACTAAAAACCATTTTATAAACGTATGGAAATGGACGGTGCTCTGCCCCGTTGGGAACCACCGTAAATGGAAAAGCAGTTTGTATATAAGTTATTATTTTTAGAAGAAACGGATACAATCCAATGATAATTTACTCATTTTATTACAAGCATAGTTAATAATTGCAGTGAATCCCTGTAGGATCATGAAGGAGGGAAATAATGTTCGGAGTTACGAAGCGAAACTATGTTGTATATATGTTCTTACCATCCAGCACTTTGAAGGCAATGGCAAAATCCTGAATTTCTGCTGTTGAGAGAGATGTCAGATCCAGCACGTTTGAATCCAATTCGCAAGGAAGGTAGACACTTATCAGGAAAGCACAGTCTTCAAATGTCATCGTTTTGTCAAGCGTCAACTTTTTTTCGTCAGTCATCAATGCTTTTTCAAACTATACAAAAAACAGTCGATGTTTAANGCTCGTTAACTATTTGGAGTCGATTGATATCTAACATGGCTCCTTCTGTATGCAAAACCGTATGCTAATGAGCTGAATTGAAAACAATGCAGACAGTAAGGAGACGAATACGAGATAGTAGTAATAGTAATAGGCTTAGTTCTTAATAAAGCCTTTTCTTAGTATTCAGGATCAGGAGCAAAAGGCATCTCCAATTCTCCCCACTGTTCATCAGATAAATCTGTTGGATACAGTTAACAAACACAAATAACTCTTTAGAATTCACAGTACCCCGGCAGCAGTTAATTTTTCCTGAAAATACCAAAAGCTAGTCAATCTCTAAGAACTGCATGTGTAAGGCGCCATTAAATTTGAAATGTAGCTCTTTCGGCTAACATTATCCAGGTCACACAAAATTTGGTCATTTCATATCGTTCTTTTGCAGAGAGCGGCAAAAAATACCAAGATTTATATTGCACGTGCACAGAAAAAACCCCTTTTATTTAGTTTAGCTTGCCTCAAGTTCCTAAATATTATCACAGTGAAGGAGAGCAAGGACGATGTAGTGCTGAAAGCCGTCGTCTCAAAACGATATGGCCCAGGACCAAAGCCGGCGTCACACGGTTGAGTTTGTTGTTGGTTCTCGCTTTGCTCCGAGAAATTTATCCGGGTTTTCTGGTTTTTCCCCTCCACAAAAAAACAATTAACATTCGAAATTCCGGTTCCATCTGAAAACATTGGAGGAGTCTCCCCGTTGGATATGCAACTCCTTCTGCCAATTTATTCGTTTATTATTAATTTATTTGTTTTATTTTTTTGCTTGTTTTTTTTTAACAAACCAAATGAAGCGGAAAGTTGGGTTAGATGGGGGGCGGGGGAGGGGGCTAGGGGGGCTATTTCGCAGTCCGTAAACAAACTATAGAGCAAAGAACTTTTGGTGGGACATACGGCTAAGTACGTGATTTCCGTTCGTAACATTCCATATGATTCCAGCAAAAGAAAATAATGTCATTATCATATTCTTTTGACTTGCTACGGTTATGAAACATTTGCAGAAAGGTGAATCTTGTCATGGTTGCAATTTTTCATAACCCATCCCAAGAGATTACTAAAAACTAGGTTATAAACGTACTGAAATGGATGGTGCTCTGCCCCGTTGGGAACCAAGAGTGTCCAAAAACAGAACACCGTGAATGGAAAAGCAGTTTGTATGTTATTATTTTTGAAAGAAAAGGGTACAATCCAATGGTGATAATTTACTCATTTTATTACAAGCACAGTTAATAATTGCAGTGAATTCCTGCAGCATCGTGAAGAAGGCAAATAATGTTCGGAGTTACGAAGCGAAACTATGTTGTACATATGTTCTTACCATTCAGCACTTTGAAGGCAATGGCAAAATCCTGAATATTTGCTATTGAGAGAGATGTCAGATCCAGCACAGTTGAATCCTTTTCACAAGGAAGGTAGACACTTATCAGGAAAGCACAGTCTTCCAATGTCATTGCTTCGTCAAGCGTCAACTCGTTTTGGTCAGTCATCAATGCTTTTTCAAACTATACAAAAAAACAGTCGATGTTCAACTGATCGTCTTCACAGAAAGGAATGATCCCTGAATACTTTTAATAATTATCGATTACTAAGAAACAATTGCCGTGAGAGCCAAAACGAAAAGTTGTTAATCAAGCACATTTGACAGATAACCATGTGGGTTCGTTTTGTCATTGAGAATCAGATTGTGTATTATAACACTGTGTCCAGGTCGATTGACAAACAGAGCGACTGACCGACCAAAATAAATCCTTTATTTATCTCGTCTGTGTCTAGCACAAAGCTAGGCAAGTGTAGAAGAGCAATTAAACATAACTTAGTTCAAAACCCAACTGGAGCTGGAGGAAGCAGACCATTTGACTATTTACAGGTATAGCCGAGGGGTTGAACTCGTGTCTACCGCGACTCTCAGATTTTTCAGGTGTAGCGCACAAACAGCTCGGCAACGCGGCGACCGACAAACAGACAGACAGATAAACATAGACAGAGGGAGCTGACTGCCAAAACTGGCTGCCGTTCAGAGCGCTAACAGGATTAGGAGCTGAATAGTTGCATGAAAAGCTTTAAATTTGCTCCTTTCCAGTTTCTCGGTTTTTGAATTCAACTAATTTGACTCACTCACCCAGTGCAGGTACTTGCTGACGCGGGCTTTACGCCGTGCTGTAGTCTTCTCAGGTAACAGCACCACTCTAGTTTGTCTATATCTTTGGCTGTGAAATAGTCTGGTTGATAAAAGAATATAACATTTACAGTACCTTATCCTCGGACGTACAGTGGATGCCACCCTTCCCCTCCCCAGAGGATTTTCAGAATTCTGAAAAGAGGATTTCGTCTATAATGCAGGAACGTTCAGTAGCTGTTTATTTATCCCTTGGCAAGATTTTGATTTTGTTGACTGTCCTTCCACGTCACTTGACATTGAAACGACAGCCAAAATTTGGCATACACCTCAGGCCAAGTTTCATCCTTTTTGACAGAATTGCTCGTTTCTTCCGTTTAATTTCTTGCAGAATTAGCACCTTTTTACATTCTGTTATTGTTTTTGGTTAATTTCCTATCAATTCACGTTAATTTTTCTTACTTTCTAAGAAGACTGTGAAATCCAAGAAAACTAATATAATGATCTCATGACCATTGAAACATAGATCATCTTGTACAGTGGACCGAGGACAATCTTATGAACGCAAAACTATGTAGATAAATCCAAATGGAACGTAAACATCTACTCCTTTGCACCATTGGAAGAGAACATTTCTGTGAATATATTAGTTTTATTTGATTACATATCTGTTTCATTTACCTGGTAAATCTGTCTGGTCTGTAGTTTCTACCAGAATGTTGTCATACTCAGGATCTTCCTCACTGCATGTGTCTCTGCGCACAACTTTCCCGACATACTCTCCTTTGCTGATTTCCAGTCGATTAGTTTCTTTATTGTAATCCACGCGGCAGCACTTGAAGAGAAAGGGTGCTTGTGATTTCCTGGCCGCTGCATCTGGAGGAAAATAGGTATCCGTAGCATAAATCCTTAGAGGTGAGTTTCTGTTTATGTTGAGGAACTGCAGTGACGGCGGAAGATTTCTCACTTCGGCTGCCATTTCTCTCTGTAAATCAAATAAATGACAAGTCTTTTCTGTAAAATCTTTCAAATTTCTCTCCCACTTAAAACTGCGCGATTTAAAGTAAAGACTATTTTGTACGTATATTTACTGCTAATTACAATGTCAAACTAGACTCAAAAGAAAAATAACCAATTAGGTAACAGGAGGCATGTTTGATAAAGGCTTCAGTATCGAAATCAGGTCATGTTTTATTACGACTTCCCATTTTCAATTTTTTTTAAAAATTTTTATTTTCCAGTGATGTCAACAAATATTCCTTTTTTTACAAAGATAGAATTTGGTTTTTACCTGATGCATTCTTTCCCCTTTCAGCTCAAATTTTTCGCTGTAAATAACAGACGTTATGAGAAGTAATTTATCACATTCTGCGAAAGATTTCATTTTGTTGGCATCCAGCTCTGCATTTGCCAGTATCCCACGAAGATCTGGATCGTCAATGTATTTTTGGCTCAATTTTCCGAGTGTTAGGACGCCTTGGTTGTCACATAACTTAATAGTTCCTCCTGCAAATCCTGCGACATCCACGTCAAACTCATCGTTCCTGGGTTTGAGAAAAAAAAAGAATGGGCAATTGAGCTATAATGCTGCAATTTTATGACCATCTCCCTCGAATCCCTCATCCTTTGCGAAATTTTAAGAATGTTTTAACCATAAACCCGAGGCTGAGATTTTTAAAAAGAATACGTTTCTTTATGTTAAAAATTTACAAATACAATACAATTATGTGCTTTAACTAACGCGAATAAAATTCTTCCTTTCCGGCTCTAAACGGCAAAACTAGCGAGAAAAAAAAAATCAGCACTAGCCGTATGTTCGATGTTAATAACATTTTTGCAAGAAGTTATGAGCGTGATGTTAGGTTTAATGCCCGCAGGCCGGCTCCAAAATTACTTAAACACCATCCATACCCTAAACGCACTCGAAAACAGATATGTCATACGCTACAATCTAAGAATATTCACAAGAATAATTTCAGCCTAAAATCGGCAGAAAAATAAGAATATTTAGCCGCGGCCGGAAAAAAACAATATTCTTATAAGAAAAAAAAAAGAAAAAAAAAAGAATGTGAGGGGGCTGAGATATATCCCTCCATTTTTCGTCCCCCTTTAAATGTATTAATTGCCAGGTTATATTTTAGACAACTTTTAATTATTGTAACATGTTACATGATATCTCCCAAGGGAACTCCCAGGGAAAAGAAATTCTTAGACCGGATTACTTATCGAATGATACATTGCCACCACGCGCAAGATTTGCAAGTCTCCTTTCTCCATACCTCCATACAGATGTCATCTGATCTTTTTTTAATTACGTGCTTACTTAACTAGTTTCAGTTTTTTTGTGTTTAGCTTTAAGGAAGGATCTGGTCTGGAGTTTTTGTACACAAGTTGCAGCCTTCATTACATCATTAATCAGTCCAAGGAGGACAGAAAATACCATTTTGCAAGTTATTACTCGGCTATTGTGATAGCTTATTTTGATCTAGAGTGTTCCTAATGGTACCTGGCAGCCATGTCAACCTTCTGTTTCATTGACAGCTCTTCATCTCTTATATTTGATGTGATGGATTCACAAACTGTCTCCTGTACAGCATCCTCGACATATCTCTCGAATCCTGCGAGGATTACAATTTCCGATTTTGCAAAAGGTCTTTTCCATAGTGGCCTATGCTGCCTGACCACCAGTGCCAAGGGTTGTATTTGATCAGTTTCGCCGTGGAGGACTGGGAAATATTTATGACTAAAATTCTCCTGGGCAAACTTTCGAATCGCGTCTTCAATCATCTGAAACAAAAGCAAATCGAAAAGATCATTTAAACATAAACAAAATGTCCTGTCGTCCTTTGATCTACTGTTGGCAGATTTAGCTATCAAACTCATTTTTATGTATTTCATAACAAAGTTCTAAAGATTATTTTGATGCACTAGGCCTTCCCTGCACGAGATCAATAAAATGAAGGCGAATTATATCGCGTCTAAAATCATCATCTTGGGAGAATGCATAACCTTGCTCCTACTAACAGCAGAAGTGAAATGAAATCTTCCCCTGGCAATATTTCTAACTTTACTCTAGGAAGGTTTGTACAGTTTCATAGACTTAATGAATGCCACTCTTTTCTATTTCGTAAATAGGCATGGTGTTGGCAGATCTAATATACAACTTATTTGTTTCGATCAGATGCGACGTTTTAACCAGCGTGATGCTTGCGGGGAACTCTAATGAAATAGAAACTTGTCTTTCTCAGTTAAAGTGCACCTAACCCCAAAAATTTTTTTTCGCTAGAACGAATCTACTTATTATTTGAAATAGTTCTGCGAAAAAAAATTTGGATTCCGTTAAA